CGTTTTTCCAATGCATCCCGGCTTGACCAGGCTTTTTGAATCAAGGCTAGCGCGGGCTCCGCCCCTCCCAACCGCTCTGAACAAGGCGGGATGGGGCGTGTGGAAAATGCAATTCCATGCCCTTCAAGGAAAGCAATCCGATCTCAGGAACACTTAGCTCCCACTGGCTAAACCAAAAAAGAACTCCTCTAATGATGACTCCTTCTACGTTGACCTTTGATAGAAATTGCGAACGTCTTCATGTCCACCGACGTGGGGGGGTTGGGTGAAAATAGGGCATGATTGACAAGACCCGCGAGTCATCGTTGAGACCTGCTGCACTGACTGCTCATCGCGGTACATTCACGACCGCAGTGGCAGAAGTGGCGAGCAGGTCCGTATGTAAATGGGTGTTTCCAGGTACAGGGCCCCAAGTTGCGGAGGGATGGTGAAGGTAAGAAACCCCCCCTCTAAGGGTCCCGTGTACTGGACACACCCGGGTGCAGTTGCTCAAATGAGCGCGACAGGCCCCGGGGACCCCTAACCTGAACTCTTGTAGGCTGCATTGGGGGCCTGGGATCCCCGGGAAGGCAGTAGCGTTTGCTAGCCTTAGAAAGTTTCGCAATGTTCTAAGGGTAGCTTCCCCATTCTTTCCAGGGATCCTTCTTTCTGGAAAACCACAAAAGACCATGGGAAACGGCTGGTTTTCCAAAAGAATGATGGTTGAAAAGAATGGGGAATCAACCCCTATCCGATGGGCCGCAAAGCCACTCATTGGACAATCCCTCAAGCTTGCATTGAAGCTTTGCGACACCATCGCAAGTTGCAGCCCAGACTGTGAGCCACGTGCGCGCTTGGCACAGCTGAACGCCTGCTGTACATGGCTGTCCAGCCCTCCAATCTGCGCTTCGAATTCTAGGCAAAAAAGAATGAGCAAGGCTGTCGGTGCTTGCGCCTGTTCGATGAAACTGCTCGACAAGCTAGCTTGAGGTCGAGGGTTGGGGGTCCCCCATTTCCATGTATCTAGTTTTCCTCATGAAAGGGAAATGGACACGAAATGAGATTCCAGGGCCCCTCCCCATCCAATTCCATTTCTAGTTCAGGGTGGGGATGCGGTGGTCGGATAGATTCGTGACAAACAAATGCAGGCACAAGAGCAGCCTCGTTCAATCTCTTTCAAGTTTCGCTCCGGGCACGCTCAATCAATAGGATTGAAGTTGCAACATCGCGGCCAGTTTCTGGATATCCACCACGACAAGATCACTCGCATGTTGAAAGCAATAAGAGCCAAACGCCAAAATCAGCAACACATGCTGTCATGAGTTCCATCCCTGTCTCTCGCCAAAGTCCCTCTGGGCAGTTCAAAAACCGGGCGGCGCAGGACCTTCTGCCTGCCCTCACCTCGCTGAAAATCATCACCCAGGCTTTGGCGCTTTGGGGCTGATTCGATGGACAGCTCCACTGTGCTTGCAGCCCTTTACATGAGTGTGGATCTTGATTTAGGAGCCTTTGGTGGACAGCATCCGGCAAAAGGGACTTGTGTTCACCGTGGCTTGCCTTGTTCAGGGACTTGCCTATATAAATCGATGCCAATATATGACCTGGCCACAAAAGATCCTGCCCACCTTCTAACCAGCAACCCAGAATCTTATGATCTTTAGGTGCCCAGTGGTTCATGTGATAGCAAACCCATCTCCAGCTCAGACTTTGAGATGTGACATAGCCTCAAACTGACATACTCAACAACGGAGGTTTGAATCCTAAGCCTTCAAACGGACAGGACCAAAAACGTCTTGATGGCCCTTACTTAACCAAAGGCTATCCCAGGGGACCACCACGACAAGGGCTCCGTGTTCATGTGCAGGGGAACGACGCCGTACTGATAACTAGGCCTTTAGATTCTACGGCGCTGCGGTTGCATGTGGCATAAGATTCAAATCAGCCCCCCTTCGCCGTGCGTGCCGTGATCATACCTTTGGTAGGTTTCCCAACGTGGGCGCCACAACCAAAGGAATTCATGACCGAGTTGTGACTTAGGGTTGAGGATCATGTCCCCTACCTCGACTAAGCAGGCCGTTTGACCACGACACATGGTCTGGCCCTTGGCAATGCCGGAACGCTTCTTGAAAGAAGTCCTACTCACTACATGCTACGCCTTAGCCCGGGGTCACATGCTGCCTTGTGCTTGTTGGTTGGACTTTCAGCCCGCTGGATTCGAAACAGTTGTGTCTCACCCTGCACTGAAAAGTCTGGCAAAACCAAGAGATGCAATGGGGGTAGGCTCCATACAAGTCGCTTTCTACACTGCAATGGAACCCTATGGAAGCAGCGCGGCCCCCGACTCTGACTCCAAGAAGCCTTCCACTTCCCTTCAGACCGATTCCCCTAAACAACAAAAAATCATACGGTATGAGCACCTAGCCGCATCCAGGATGCAAAGTAGCGCTTCCCTCCGAGACTGGGCGCAGTGAAACCCCTCTTGGGCGGCTTTCTTTGGGGCCCGCGCTCTTGACGCATGATCTCAGCCCCGCGCACAGCTGACGCAGGCCGCGGGCTCCGGCATCTCAGCAAGCAAGTGGCTCGTTCCCAGTCCACGTCCACAAATCGGCCCGGGTGAAACATAAAACAGGTGAATCCTCTTGTGGCTGTTCGGGGGAATGTTGACATAGCCAGTGCAAGGCCCACGGTTTGTTTGTATTTCCTATGGGGCCCCTAACCCCCCCTCACAACACCAACATACCTTTCCCCCTCACACCAAGAAACAAAAAACAAAACAAAACAAGCCAACAACAAACCAACAAACGAGCGCAGTGGGTAGCTCGAGCTGTACTTCCATTCTCAGGGATCCTTTTCAGGACATGGTCCAGACCCCAGGGATTCAACTTGTTTGTATCAAGAAGTGACAAAGAATGCAACATCAACCTTTACAGAACCCAGAGCCCTACGACCCCCGAAGAAAAAAGTCGCCGGCAGTCCCCGCCTTGTCCAAGACCCCACCCCCCCTCCCACCCGAAGAGTGAACAAAGCCATTGTCCAAATACCGTTTTCTCACATCTTACATGGCTTTCTTGCTGGTTCTCGACAGGGTATGGGAATTGGAATGACCCCTGCCTTTAAGGGAATCCCCAAAGCTGGCTCATTCCCAAGACCCGGACTCGGTCATTCCCTACCTATCGCACCAGCAAGCTTTAGAGGCCGGGTTCAATTCACCCGGGCCGCCGACCTTCGCCCCGTTGCCTCAGCTGTGCTTCCACGTGACATGTCAGCCTGTCAAACCCTCGCCTAGCCGACCACATGAGCCTCTGCGAAATGCATACTGTTGGGTAGCGCATAATACAAGGGGAGTTAATGCACAGAAACGGCATATGTGTTCCCTCACCTGAGCAACAAGGGCAGGAAATACACACAAAAAACATGGAAGGCTTTCCAGGTGGATAAGAAAAACAGCTTTTTGGCCTGGCCCCGGTCCCCGCAGCTCCCCAGTCTCAGTTCCAGCAAGTCCAAATTTTCAAACGGGTTGCACAGGGCACTCAGGGCCAGCTGCCTGAAAACGGTAGGCCAGCACCAAGGAATACTAAGCCAACCCTAAACTGTACTGTGTCAGTACAACAGAATACCAAGCCAATACTACACAAATACAAGCCAACGCTGAACATTGCTTACTGGAAGGCTACTTTGCTTGGGGGCTGTAAATCCCCCAGCAAGTAGTTTAACTTGTTGCTCGTTAAAATGAAATATGAAGGGAATCCAAAAAGTTAAAGTCTAAAGATCCAACCCAATAGCGATAGAGCTTAGGCAGGCCCCAGTCTGACCCCCATTCTGCTTTTTGGATTCTCTCGGGGAGGCGGTGGGTGGGGGGGCCTTTACTAATCACTCCCCCACATTACGCACGCCGCGGCTGTCAGCCCTGTCAGTCACTTGCCTACTGAGCCGACGGCGCTCCGCTGGCATGACGCCTGCACTGCCGCCAAAAAAGGGGGGCCTTCCTTTGAGACGGCCTATGAAGGGGGATCTGGTTTTCCCAACCCCCACCCTTTCCAAGTTCCATTCCACTGAGGGGTGCAAATCAGGGAACGATGTGGCCTATGAAGGAGTTCCACGGCAATGAGCAATGAGCCGTTGTGGCCTGCGTTTGGCCCTCCATTGCCCCCAAGTTGCCCCAATTTCAGCAAATTGTGCCTGATGTGGAACTTGCAAAGGTGAAAAACAAGATCCCCCACCCTTTCCAAGTTCCATTGCAGCCGAGGGGTGAAAATTCAGGGACGAGGTGTGGAATTTGGGGCAATCTTGGCGTAATGAAGGGCCAACCGCCAGCCATAACGGCTCATTGTTGTGGAACTCAACCAAATGTTGAACATCGACCTTATTTTTTTCCAAAGGCCGTGAATGCCCATATAGGCCGAAAGGAAGCGCCATGCTTCGGCTGGAAACAAGCCTCGGACCGGAAAAAACACCTGGAACCGAAGAACCAAGCAGGAGAATTGCACAACAAGGCCAACCCTGGCCCAGCTTGAAATACGCTTCAACTCTGGCATCGCCCGCTTCTCAAAATCGCAACCCATGTCCAGGTGCATCTCTTTCTCCGCCGCGCAGGCTCCCCTCGCTCGCGGCCTTTTTGCACTCGCGGTCGCCATGCTCGGCGTGTGCTTCCCTCTTCGCCACATCGCGCAGCATGCACGGCAGCAGCTTATCCCGGTGACATCCCAGGAGCCTATGGCGATTTATGTTCCCAAAACCGAGGGAGCCACTTGACTTAAATGCCATGCATTCAGGGATCCCTGATTTTGAGCACACCTCAATTCATGCCCGGCAACATGACCAAAAGCAAGCGATAGGACCACTAAGACACCGATACCTCCGACACACTCCTTCAACTTAAGCCTGGAGTCACTGGAATCCCCCCCCCCAACAAAATCGTCCTTTCCACAAAAATCTCCTCTACAGGTGACCTCTTTTGTTCCTTCCAAGGGGAGTGCCTGAAAGGGGCCTTCGTCGGCCTAACCTGAGCGACCTGTGCCGCTTCAGCCGCCAAAGGAAGCCGCGCTTTGTGCGCGCCTTCCAAAGGTCTGAAAACCCGGCCAGGTTGGCCCGAAAACCGAAGGCCCCCAAGCCGACTCTGCAAACTGCAGGTCTGCGCCTGAGATTTCGGCGACTTCAAGAGGCTCGCGGCTCAGCTGGAAACCTCGATGAGCACCTTGGCGCGGATGTCCCGGCTGGATGCTCCCAGCCACACCTCCACCTTGGACTGCGGCACCTCGGACGCAAGGCCCTCGCTTCCTGAGAGCCAGGAAACGGCCGGAACCTGTTGTGCACTACAAGAATGGTGCAAGCCCAAGAAGCGTAAGGTTCATAAACTCAGAGGCCCACTTACGCGGGTAGGAAAAGGACACCCTTTTGGGACGGTCTATCAGTTGTGGAAGGGAAACTGCCAAAAGGGAAACATATTCGGTGCTGCACAACTGGAGTCCTCGTTGGGAAAGCAAGGGAACCCCTACGTATGTCATCGCACGGTAAAGTTTACAGCTCAGACCCACCCGGAAATTTCAACAGAAGCCAAGAGGTAACTAACAGATGCCCCCCAGTGTTCTACAGTCATTGAACGCTAAGGCATGGTTCTGCCAACAGACTTTTTCGCCTATGGCCCTGACTTTCAAGTAAAATCAGAGAGCCACATTGGTTTAGATACCGTCCAAGAACAACTCCTGTGCCCTGGCACGGCCTGGATAAGCGAGGCTAAAGCTAAGAAGCCTCAAGGCATGTGAGCTGACACTATTGCAACGGCAAAAAAACCGCCAGGGGACCAGCGACCAACCAAGCAACCAAGCAACCAAGCAACCAAGCAACCAAGCAACCAAGCAACCAACCAACCAACCAACCAACCAACATCAACCAACCAACCAACCACACAACCAGCCAGCCAGCCAGCCAGCCAAGCAACCAAATAAGCAACTGGCCAACCAAAACCGATGCCTATCAGCCTGCAAAGCCAACAGTAAATGGACCGCCCCAAACCGATCCCCATCAACAAAAAAAACAACAGGGGACCACCCAATCCGATACCCTGGCAACATCGTCGGATGCTCATACCCTGCTGGGCCACAGGGCAATTGCAGGGTGAGACCCACTGTACTTGGGCGTCGGCCAAGTTAGTACTTCTGGTCAGTAACCCAGGTAAGAATCCACTTGGCAGTCTGCTCGGTTTTTCTCTTGCTTTTTCATAGTTGTTGCCATGGCGTCTTGGATGCGTTATCCATGTGTTCTAGCCATTGCAGGTGGACTCCATGCGTATGGGTTCCAACTTCTAAATCATCCACGGCCTCCGGCCAAACCACGTGCGGCCAAGCTGCCCAGCCGCCTGGGCACAAAGGCAACAAACACGCATAAACGAGGAATGGCACCCTTGGGGGTTTGGGGTAGCTGGTGCTTCTTGTTTTTATTGTGGTAGCCTTAAAGCATGAAAGGAACCTGGCAGGTGATCTAGTAAACCAACGTGGCATTGCAGTGGTAAATGGAAGAACTGTGAAGCAATAAGCAGGCCTTTTGACACACCCCCGCATGAAGGAACTTCTCTTTCTGAACTCCTTGCGTTTGGCGAGGCCCGGCCGACTAGACCAAAGGTGCCAAGGATGATGACTACCCTTCCGACTATGGTCCAATATGGGCAATGCCGACCTTGGATTGATCCACCTGGGCTTTTAGGACTGTGTTCCCTCCAAAACTGATCCGGCTCCCCTCGCAAAACGGGACTACCCCCTAGGCCCGAATCAACGAGGGGTTCCCTAATCATGGGCACTGAACATGAACAACAAACAAGTCATCTCAAACGCATAATGTTGACCCCGTATTAATCAACCCCAACTTATTATTCATAGAGGGTCCCCCGGCCCCTCCAAAAGTGATGTTTTCCCCCATCTCACCCAGGGAAAAGCACCCCCCCTATTAATTGATACACTGGAGTTGACATTCATACGGGTCAACATGGCCATGGGTCAAAATCCCCTACCCCCAGTGAACATCCCAATCCCCACTAAGATAGGTTCTAAATTGGTGGTGCACTCACCCCAAAATGGTACCAACACGGTTTTGACCCACAGCCACATACCACGACCTCCCGCGCCGAAAGCGATGAACTTCCGAGGCATCCGCGCTCCGAGGAGAAGAGCGAGAAGTCCTCCGGGGAGAAGTCCAGGCGCAGCAGCTGGCTCTCGTTGGGCTGCAAGACCTCCGACCCAAGCGGCCGCGCGGCGTACTTCTGATCCTCTGTTCGCCTTAGTCCCCTGGATGTCCAGTAGTGATATCCAGTAGTGCTTGTTCCTTTCTTCACTACTGGGAAGTGCTCTAAAAAAAAGGAACAAACATGTCCAGTAGTGATATATTCCCTGAAAATGTTTACAAACCAACATCGGAAATAACAAATTGAGAAACCTGGTGTTTGGAACCCAAGAAATCAGTTCCCTCTGACTGGTGATTTGGATGGTTTTGGGGCGTGGAGGCTGGGTGGTTTCACCCTCTAAAACCAGGGCTTAAAATCCGCAAACCACCAGACAGCGGACCTGTGCGTTTTCTCGCCCCAACCCTTCTGGACCTAATCGTGAGGGCGGAGAGTTCAGACAAACAAGTTGCGGGGTTGGAAAACGCGGTCAAAGAAGACAGGCTTGCAGGGTTGCTCTGATCGGTCGGAAGGGCAAACATTTGGTATGCCGATCATCTAGTGCCAAAACATAGTGAACATGAAGATGCTAAGATGTATGCTTGCAGCTACTTCGTGAATGAGCAGCAGCAACTAGCAGCATGTTAATTCATGTAAAGGACCCCACTGAGCGATTCAGAACTTACAGTTACAAGATATTAAACCTCAAAATCAAGAAAATATGCACTACCACAGTGTCCTATATGAAAGTCAGCTGCAGACCAGGACTAGGATGATGGCGATGAGAGAAATGCATGAACCTCCAGCTTTCCAAACGAAACCAATAACACATCCACAACTACAAAAGAGACACATGCAAAAAACAAGCTCTCCAAAAAGAACTAAACTCTAGAAAACGGTTTGGATGCGGCTTTTGTGGTTCCACCCCTGTAGAAGCTTGAAAGAGTACTAAAAGATTACTAAAAAAGGACCAACCGGGGGAAAGAACAGGTGAAATCCACAAAAGGCGCATCCAAAACGGTTTCTAGATAAACAATTCAACACCGCAAACCGCATCGGTCTGGACAGACTAGGCACGGGCGACATGGGGCCTGCAGCGTTGTTGTTGCTTGAGCTGATTTGTTGTTAGGAAAACTCGAGGTGCTTGTTTTCTTGTGCATGTGGAAAAGTGTAAAAAAGCTCGAGCTTTCCAACAAACAAAGCAACGTCAGACCCTATGGGTCCAGATTCTGAGCTGTGAGCACAGGGGGTCTGTCATAAGTTGTTCCCCGCAAACTCCAGTGTGTTTTGCATGTTTCACTTCAAGACATTGGGTCTGCCGACGGTGTTGGAAGACTCGAGGCAGAGTTTGCGGGATTTTGGACACCTACAGTTGCCGAATGCCCTCCCAGCCGCAAGGAACCCATCGATCGCGAGTCGAAACCGTGCGCCTTGGTCCGCTGGAATTTCTTGAGCACCATGGCCTCGGGGGCGGAAGCTTTCAGCCATGTCTTCTCCGGACTGCATAAACAAAACCTTCGCAAGGCAACTGGATCTGCAAACGCCCGGTGGGCGGGGTGCCGAGGTGCTCTTGTGACTTGTGGGAGGTGGCTCTGGAAGCCCAAGCCTCCGATCTGAGCAAAAGTTTTGTAACCTCAGCGCTTACAACCCATTGACTCCTGATTCTATTGAGGTCGATGAAAGGATCGTATAGCATAGAACTTACTCTTGAAGCGTTTCAGCGAAGGGCTGGCTACAGTCTGCAAGGGTAGCAAACTGCAGATCAATGCATCCTGGTAAAACTCCAGCAACCCCTAGGCCTTGCCCCGAACAAAAAAAGTGCCCTTAGCTGCAGCTTTAGCACCTGGTTCCCTCGCACGGGTCGCAGGGACATGGGTTCGTATCAAAACATGAAGGGAACGCGCCTGGGTGTCAAATAGGGGACCTGAACAAATCAAATGTCCATCCTGGCTTCGATTGCCTGTTGGGAATCAACGAATAGAGGCAATGCAGCTGTCGGTCCACATCAAACCAAGCTGCAGGAGTGGACTGGACCCATCGATCCTTGGCTGCACGTCGCGTGGGGTGATCGAATTTGGTGGGCTGGGCTTGCCTCCCACAAAGTATCCAACCCAACAAAAATCAGGCACTTCCCATTTTCAGGCCTCGTGAAGCTGCAACAAATCCTTCATTTGGATGCCCATGACATGCATTCCCGGATGTTCCCGGCCGCCATCTGTCGAATTCAGTGCTGCTCAAGTCCGGCCATGTGCACAAATTCTAAAGGCTGGCCCAATCTGTTCACCCAATCTTTTGAGGTGCCAGATTCCCGAAAGGGCTCCCTAGAAAGGCACGGATTTACAGCCAGATGGATCCTCACAACCCTGCAAAATTAAACACGTGATGCGAAGCCCCGAGCGAGCAGTCGACTGCTGTCCAAAGCGCATCTCCGCCCTGAGGAGATGGGAAATGCACATAGGCCTGCCATGTGAGCCATTGCAGCCGGCATTCCTACATTGGAGTTTCCCCCTGACTGCAAAAAATCAGAACGCCTCCTAAAATCTAAGTTGAAATCTAAATCCGCTGGCACTGGGCTTCCAATTCTTGCAGCGCTGCAGCTGCCCATGGGGCAAATAGAACACATGCGCAATGTGCCCAGCATTTGTTGCATCCACCCCCATAGAGTCGGGCAAAAGTAGATGCACAATTTCCTCACCGATTTTATGGCTGTGGGTCAAAACCAACGGTACCGTTTTGCACCACCCATTTTAGCTTCCTCACCGGTTTTATCATGCTGCTTACTACTTACCAGCAACGCAGTTGCGCAATCTACTTTCACGCTGGTGTACCCTGCGGGAATCACCTTGCATGAGAGGTTCCCTTGAAAACAGCCCGAAAAGGGAAACGGGCACATCATTTTCGAGGGTAATTACCCTCTTTGAGGTGCTTGAAAACGAGCCCACGGGAAGCCCATTTTGGGAATGCTTAAATCCGATTTGGATTTGGCAAGCCCTGCCCAGTTCTCTCCAAAGCCCTGCCTCCCCGCAAGACAACCACAGCAGAGACGGCAACTCGAGAAAATCGCGGCACAAGCTTGCGCAGGGCCTGGACCACAAAAATCATTGATGTTGTTCTCTTTTGGGGGCCCGAATGGCCCGAGGAAACGATTCAGGACTGTGTAAAACCGAGGCTGTGCCACGCACAGGAGACCGCCCTGAAAATCCATCCGCCTACCCGCGACCCGCAACGACTCTACACTCTCAGGTTCGGAACTTTACACAAGTCACCAACGAAGGTTCCAACGCTTCAGGCATCACAAGGGTATCAGGTGCCTCTGGGCAGCCAATCCTCAGCCCAAAGATTTTGGCAAATTCGGAACTTTCTGGGGTTCACCACTTTTAGTCCGGAGCCCAAGCAAAATGGCCAGTATAGGTGCGTCAGAATCAGGGGCCCCTTTTTGATGCCACTCTAAAAAAGGGTCCCTGAACTGTTTTGTGGTTGTCACCCAACCGCAATAGTTACGGGCGAAAGGGGTTCCTTTTGGGACCAGTTCCAATTGGGGGGGGGCCTTCGACAACCATTAAAAGACCTGGACCCCCGCGCTTCAACCGCTCCTAACCCGCCGTTTCTTTTTTTTCCGCCCGGCCTGCACGACCTCCTCCCCAGAGCCATGGCCCAAGTTTTTGATGCCCACGCTTACGCAGGCGACGTTGGGGCAAGCGAGCTGCTTCGCGCCCGAGAACCTCAAAAGCAGACACCGTCAGCTCAAAGTGGTGAGCACGGCATTGGGGCTGAGGTTGGGTGGTTTTCTCTCTGAACAAGAGCCAGGGGTCACCCTCAAACCAATAGTCCAAAGCAACAATTAACTGTTGCCTGAGTCGAACATGAGAAAAAGTGAGAGAACATGCATCTACCTTCTTGCCAATGGAAGCTAGGGTTGGAAGACCATCGTCTTAAGGCCCCAAACTGCCACTTCGAGTTGGAAAGGAGGAAAGAAAAGCACAAAGACCCGCAGGACAATTTCCCGCGGAAGGAGCTCTACCCGGAAAGCTGCCTCTCAATAGACATCTGTCCATCTGAAAGACCCACACAGCGTGGACTTGAATGGGTGCTGTCAAACAGCTTTGTTGGAATACGTCAGGGCCCGTTAAGGGAATTCGTTAATAGGGTACCCTAGCAAACATGAAGGTGCACAGGCGCTCTCCTTTCGGTTTTTGGACCTCAAAGGCGCTGGAATTGAGCTGTCCCAAGGCTCAGAACTGGATCTTGACGCTTTCCTATAAATCTCTGTAGAAAGGACGTGTTTTTTAATGTTAGTCATATCATTTCCACCAAGACATTGCTTGGCCGACCACTTAGTCCAACCATCCGTTTTCCCCCCCCCCTCCCAGGCCCCCCCCCTCCCTCCCTCCGTTTTTCCACACAAAACCTCGGGGCTTGCCTGGCGCCAGCTTGCTTCCGCCAGCTTGCGCCTTGCGCCGGCTGCGGCTGGCGCGGCTGGCGCCGGCTGGTGCCGAGGCGCTCGAAGCTGGTGAAGGTGAGCCCGTGGCCGAAGGGGTAGGCCGCCTTGAGCCGGGGCGACCTGTAGGAGGTCAGCAGCCCCTGGCGCGCGCGGCCACGGGCGGCCGCGCTTCGCGTTTCGCGTCGTTTCCCCGAGGAAGTGGTCCCGCTATGAACGCCAGGAATTTCTGAAAACAAGGGGGGGGTGGGGGGTCCGGGGAACCCAAAAAGGAGTGTCCGTTACTGGAAATGCTGTGGGTTGGTGGGGTTCCATGCTGAAACTGTAGGGGAGTAAGGTGCTGGTGAATTCCAATTGCAGGGTTTGGGTGGGAGAGGGGGTTATGTTTTCAGCGGAAATCACATGTGCCCCGCGTTGGTTGGATTGATTTCAGGAAGCTCCTTTACAACCCAACAAATGCCTCGTTGGGTCTTGGGGTGAGTGACTGCTCAATGAAACTTGGGGAACAAAAAACAGGGATCCTTTCCGTCCGTGCGAAATCACCGCAGTGCTGGGACAGAAAGACGGAAGCCTCCAAAGCTGCATGCCAATTGAGAGAAGAAAACGCCGCACACGAAACATTAGAAGTTCTCAGTTGGTGCGAAGGGAGCTTTGAACTGGGGCTCTCCTCGGATCCCATCTCGTCTCTCGCCCATTCGCCTCGGAGTAGTCGACCTCTACGTCCCCCACCGGGATGGTGTCTGCCGCCGTGGCCGGCATCATGATCGGCAGCCTGCGGCTTCGGCTTTCGGCGCGGCGCATTCCCGGCCGGCGAGCTCGTCTTACCCGGTGAGTTCCGACTGGCGGCGATGGAGGTTAGCATCTATCAAGGGATGTGTAGAAAATGAGGCAATCAACGCTTGTTTGCATGTGCCTTTTTGTTTGGTGGGGAGGGGTCCGGCGTTTCAGACAACCCAACTAGTGACACCATATTTTGAAGGGCATCTGGCTTTGAAGAGCAAAACTCCTGGAATGAAACTCCGAAAGTCGCTGTCCATGAGGGTCTCTTGTATCTATGAGGAGACCGAGGAGCAGAAGTAGGGCATGAACACAGAGTAAACATGCATTACCCCTGAGATGAATTTGAAGCTATCTATGGATCTAGGCCAGGTTCACCTTCTGTGATAACACTGGGGGAAGCGGCCTGGAGTTTCTCTGATAAAGAAGTGCGATCCAACCCCTTCTCACATTGTCGTTGAATGATTCCCTCACAGGCCCCCCTTTCCCTCAAACAATAATCTAGGGAGAACCACCAACAATCGATCGCAAGCTGCCGAGCCCTGGCAAGCAGGGGGGGGGGGGTGCGGGGGAGGGAATGCTCACCTGAAACCCCCGCCTGCCCCGAGGGGGGCTATCCCCGAAGAGAAAGCTGGCCCACGCCGCACCAGTCCTCGGGTGGTTTGGATGACCCGAAAAATGCGGACAGGGCCAACGCCGTGCAAAACGGCCTGGGAGTTTGGCTGGGAGTGTGAAAGCATACGCCACGAAACCATGGCTTCCAATTGCTCGAATTGCCGGTTTGGAGCCGAATCGCTGGTTTGCTGGTGTTCAGAGGTGGTTTCCCATTTGCCCTGCAGAACCAGGGGTTCAATTCCGAATCCAAAATCTAAACCACCAATCAAGGTATACCTGACCATTTGTGGCTTCCTTTATAAGAGTGCCAACAAAAAACTCACTTCCTGAGTGGATAGCCAAATAAAAAGAAAAAGAAACCGCACTTTGTGGTTACCACTAAAAGTGACTAAAGTCCAGGAACTAACCAGACCAAGGGTAGAAAACAAAACTGGATCCCCTTTATCTAGGAGTGGTGCCCAAAAACAAAAACAAACAACACACACAGAACATTGTGACCCCATCGATCCCGAAAAGGGATCGAAGCCCATGGGCCTCAGTTCCCCCGGGAGATAACTCCATGGGTTGAACCAAAGTTCGGTGTGAACATCTCGGCATTTGTTTTCTCTTCAATCATATCCAAAGGAAGCTCAGTTTAAAGGGACTTAAGACATGATGTTTAAAGCAAGGGGAAACCCCCGGCCATCCGAGGCCTATCGTGTACCCTGAGACCCCTGACGCATCAGCATCCGACCCCCGGTTTTCTAAAGGTCAGAAGTTGAGCCTAGGCAAACGAAAGGAACACAAGGAGCCCACTGCCAGGTGGACCGGTTTTCTTTAGGTCCATGTTAGCTGAACCAGACCGATTTTTAATGAGTGACCTGAAAAAAATGTAGAAGTCACCAGGTGACTTCTAGAATTGTTTCAGGTCACTCCTCAAAAATCGGTCTGGAACAGGACTCAGGGCTGACAGCCTGTGGGGTCCTGGGATCCAAAGACGACCCAGTCATCGGGGAATGCTCTGTCGCATCTATATGCCCATACCCCCATAGGTACAAATTTGGGCAGTCGCCACTGGAAGGGAGGTTCCTTCAGCATCCTTTCCATGAAGGGGTAACCTCCGAGTTGAACAAACTAGATCATTCTTGCGTAAATTATTTGGTGGACGTCTTCTTGTCAGCTTTCAACCCTCCAATGCACACGTTACATGAAACTTCCTGATGAACTGTTGTGATTCCCCAACCCAAAGATCCCTAAACAAACCTTTTTCACGGGCCTAGGCCGCACACCCGCGCAAACCCGAGTCAAGCATCAAGGCCCTTCTCTAGCTACACGTGAATCAAAGGCGGCCCACTGCTCACTGCTTGCAACCCAAAATTGTCCAAGCATCAAAGGTCCAATTTCTCCAAAAGTCCAATCTGAAGGTCCCAAGGTCAAACAACAGCGCAACAAAAAAAAACACAAGCTTAAGGTCCCTGCGCAACTCCGCCCATGAAGATACTGGCGATGGCATTGACCTCGGTTTCAGAAGGCCCAGTCCCAGAACTGGTACACACCATGGCTGAAGAAGCAGACACCGCCATTCTGTGCGGGGACCTCCAAATTGCTTCTTGGTTGGCTGGTTTGTGGTCAAGCGCGGTTACATTGCCATACCCTCCCAAAAGCACATGACCTCACAAGGAAACTGGAACAAACAGCATTGGTCTTTCACCAGCTCCCCCCCCTCCAAATTGAAGTGGTTGGGTGCTGGTAGGTCTGTTACATGTTGTTGTTGCTTTTCTCTCGGAAGGGTGACATGCCACCCTTTTGAAAACCCCCGCACGAATCCGCCTCCGCGCGCCATGGAAGCAACACCTCGGGAGTGTGGCATGCTTTAGGCTGGAGTGGCGTGGCTCTCCGTCTCTGTCTCTCTCTATATGCAGAACCTATCATTTCGCCAGGTATTGCTCATCATCATCATCATCATCATCATCATCATCATCATCGTCTTGGAAGCTGTCCTCCGATGTCCTGCCTCAAAATGGCTCCATGTGGGAGGCTCGAAGTCAGACATTCTCGCATCACATCCCACCTTGCTAAAGAACCCACCAGATGGTGACTTGTGGAGAATCACAATCTTCGAGGAACCCAGTCAGGTTTCGTCTATGGGATCGTGATCGTCCGGAACTGGAGTTTTGACTTGCGCAAGGCCTGTACCTCCATGCCTTTTCAGCCATGCATTTTTCCCTTCGCGATTCGCCAAATATGCAAAGCATCTGGGTGTTTCCAAAATGGGGGGCCGTGAAAGCACCAACGTAAGCCCGTATATGTATTGCCTTTTGACTAAAAGGGAGTCGGAAACACCCATGTACAAACACATGCCGCGCTCAAGGCGACAGAGACTCTCGGCTGAGTCTGAAAAATGCACCTGGCGAGCTTGCAAGCGGCCTTGCTTTCCAACCTTTGACCTGTTGACCTGGGTTGCTAGCTGTTCGCACGGCGGGAAACCTCGGCTTCCAATAGAATCAAAACGTGAAATGGCAAACCAGGAATCCACTAGCCCATGAATTCCGTTTCGTCGATTCGTTCAGTGTGCACATGTCTGCAAGCCCGCACGAATTCGACGTCAGGTGAATTCACAGGCGCGTTCTTGTGGCCGACGCATCCGAAGACGCCGCGGAAACTTCCTCCTCATCAACGCTGGACTCGGAGTTCTCCGAGTCCGTGGTGTTCCCGGGCCTTTCGGAGCGTAGCCACCTGAGATGGGCCAGGCGGAAAGGCGGAAAGGAGGGGCTCTGATTGGATGGGAGTTCTACCATGATCCATCTGAAACATCGTCTGGCAGTGCATTCGTACATGCCAAATGTACCAAGTGTTGCCCATGATCCGGCGCTTATGTTTGCCGTAACTTGGTGTCTTTGCCGACGGGCAAACCGAATTTGAGGAACTAGCGATGCCAGTCCGAAGCAAAGCAACTAAGGAATCTTCTGCCCCCCGAAGCACGCTCCCCTCCCCACATTGAGCGTTGGAGACTTCATAAGCCTTGTTAGCCAAAATTACCCAAACGCTTTGTAGGGAGGGTCCTTTTGAAGGCCTGTCTTTTTTTTTTTTTTTTTTCCGAAGCACTGATATCCAACGGGCATCTGCTGGGGCCATGGCCAAAATTCCACCAGGAATAGGGAAACCAAGGAGAGACCAAAAGTGCAACTGTCGAGTTCGAATGAGTGAGAACAATGGAGAACAATACAGCATCCGCTCAAGATACTCCCCAAAAGATGAATCTCCATGGCACTCCCCTCGTCACGCACTTCGTCAGTTGCATTTAATTGCATTCAGGTGCGACTGATTCTTTAGATGTTTTTAGAGGCTGCGAAAGGGCGCAACATGGCACAACTGCTATTTGGCGGACTTGGGCGGACATGGGCGGTATTGCGGGGCATCGAATGAATTTGAATGATCTTGCATGATCTTGCACACTGTTTCGAGGGGGGGGGGATGGGGTGGGATGGGGCGGGTGGGATTACTTCGATACACGTCTTTTCACACTTCACAACCGCGCTTACGCGTCAAACTACTCGGGAATGAATGATCAAGCTTTCGGTGCATGACTCAGGATGGGATGCAAACAATCCAAGACCGCTGTAATGGTTCCGAGGCCCATATCGGAGGTATCTAGGAGCATCAGGAAAAACAGACCTTCGTCCCCAAACTACTGTGCATGCACTTAGGCGAATAATTTCGTTCAAAATGTGCCCGCCAACTCCAAGTCTCCGAGGCTTCACTGCCGACGGAAAGTGAACTCCACATGAAATTCCAGGGGCCGTCCCCTTGTCCCAATTCCATTTGAACAAAGCGGCTTTCTCAGAAGCCCCATCTGGCAAAGACTTCCCGTAGACCCCTAGACCAAGCTGGAAAGCGGACATTTAACAGCTTGCCAAACTTGCAAGGGGCTCTTACAAAAGTTGTCAGAATGTTTCAATGTCTCTCGTGATTAGGGCCTATGTACACATCAATATGGGGGTTCACCCCGAAGGTGTACGGAGGTCTGGTGGTAAAGGCTTTGAGTATATGCTCGGACACAATTGCTTGATTGCTTGTTCCCGAGGAGGACTTGGGAAATCTGGGGTTCGACCCCTGGATGTTTGTTGGTAACTGAGTTGTCCCATCCTGCCCTCCAATCCTTGTCTAAATGATGATTTAGACACAACATAGACTAGTTCAACTGAAAACAAGAGTTCCCTACAAAGGCCGTCACGTGCAGACGCAAACCAAATGCCGTCGTGAGTTGCCCAAACCCAATCACTGTTCGGATGGCTTCAAAAGGGAACTTGACAAAACAACAACACTTCACCTCCCCCCAAATCCTACAATCCGAATTGAGAGCTCTCCAAGTAAGCACCTCCATGCTTTTGCTCCTTTCACTCCCATAGCAAATCGGCAAGCCCGATACTTTGTGAGCAATTGAAAAACACTGGTTACATCAAAATACGTCCTAATTCAGTTTCATATTTAGCCCACCCTAAAGTATACAGCATTTCTTCATTTTTTTGGAGACCCCAAATGGGATTGTCTCTTTGAGCGGCCACCCCCCTTCACATTTTTCTTGGAGGCCCCCAAGCTTCAGCAAAGAGGCCCCGAGACCATGCGCCGGCCCGGTCCCTTCCACGCCTGCACCGTGACCCCGGGGCTTTTGGGGCGGAAAACCGAAGGGCCCCGACCAGGGAGAACACTCTCGAAGGACGAAGCTGCTCCCCTGGGGCATGTTTTTTTGAAGGGGGGCCAAGAGGAAACCAATCTTTTTCCCCCACTTGGACCTGAAGGGGATGGGCTTGACCCATGTTCCCCAGAAAAGCTCAGCAGCTGATATGGGTTTGTCTTGGACCCGAACAACAACATGGCTTTCCTGTTGGTTTGCCTTTGAAACCATGCCAAAGGGGGCCCCCTGTTTTGACACGCCCATTCCTGTTGGAGCCCAGCAGGGCCACCATGCGCTGTACGGTTAACATGTCTCGCATGTGGGTCGCGAATGTCTTTGCGATACACCGGCAAGTTGCCGAGGTTGATCATCATCCCTGCTAAGCCCAAATCAAGCAGCTCGTTTGACAGTGGCCAGAAACAAGCGTAGAGCCTGACTAAAAAGCAGGGGTCTCAGGTTTCCCTCTTTTGGAAGGGCGTTCCTGGCGCGCCCAGAAGGGCGTTCCTGGCGCGCCCAACACGTAAATGCCCGGTGTGGACTTCTGTAGTGAGTGCGGAGTATCTTCCTAGAGCCTGGCCCTCTCAACAGGGCAAGTGGCTTGAGAATCCAAATAGCCGGTCCCTCTTGACAGCCGGGTCGCTGTGTGGAACAGCTCCAGGCAGCAAAGGCAAGCCTCGCGAGGAAAATTCCGTGGCCATGGAACCAGAAAGGCCCCTGAAAGACAATCCCCCTATCAGGGCTTATATTTCCCCTCAATGCATCACTCCTATGAAGGGAACTCACTTTAAATGGGCAAATGTTTAGAATCGCCAAAAAGCCCTAGCTAAAGGTCAACATGTTGCTGGTGGGGCCGGGTACATGTTTCTTGCCATCCCGGCCTAGAAAGCAATTTGTTCTCTTTGTTTTTCTCTCGCTGTCTCTACCGGCACTCCCCCATTGAACATAACCCATGCTGCGATCAAAAGGTGGGCAGATTCCATGACCCTACCGTTACCTGTCCACCATTGTTAAGGTATTCGCGTAATTAAACATCGAAGCCATTGCGGGGGAGTTGCGCTTCAGTACTCTCCTCCACCGTCAACCGTGGGGACCCATTTGGCCAAACCACCTGCCTACTTTCCAAGTGTTGCAGGCATATTGTAATAGTAGTCGGCCAAGACCAACTACACAAGACACTCCCTTTTGGACTTCCTTTGAGGGAATTGGACAAAGTGGGCTATTTAGCAATCAGTAAAGGTTGGAGTGGCCTTTCGCACCGGGGGAGAAGGATGTGCCCCTGTGCTTCTGGGCCCCAAATCCCCGGTGGCCTGGAATACTGGGCTGAACCTCCCCTCGACCCGCTTTTATTTTCGGGGTGGGTTGAATCTCCAAAGGCCCCGCTGGACTGGTGGCACTGTTTTAAAGGGGGGGCCTTTAAAGCAACCCCAACATTAACGTGCAGGGCAGCGTATGCAACTTGGAGTGATGTGTTCCCATGAGGCGATGGCCGCCAGGCCCAGGAACGCCCCGAGCAAAAGGTAGCCCCAGTGGCCTGAGCTCCGATTGGTCCAGACGGGGTCGAATGGCCAACCAGCTACGCCACACTAGGGATCGCATGGTTGATCGTGCTCGCCTGAGGCGAAGCAACTTCTTCCCCAGCGACACCGAGAGCAAGTCGTTGCTCCTTGTCTGTTCGCTTTGGCTGGTCGCGGCACGGGGCACGGTGTGTGCGTGGCAAACTGGTTGCACCCCCCCCCTCCACCCCCACCCCGCCCTGTCCAAGAGAGGCGAAACTTGCCCCCAGGGCCTAACCATACATTCCCTGCAGGCGCACCAACCCGTGGGGGAACAAGTTGACAAGCAGTGCTCCGAAACCCTGGGCAAAATATTGGCGATCTTAAGGGAAGCCAATCGGAACCCTTCGCAAACTCAAGCTGGAGGTCACCAATCCTACCGTGGCCTCCACAAAGAGATGCTTTCTAGCAAAAAATAGTCTGGATGGATTTGGAACTTGAGACAATTACAAACAGCCCCCATGTCTTTTTCGGGTTTGATCAATGGCGGGATCCCTTCCGAACCGAAACCAAACCTGAGCCGCGGGCCGAGACCGGAACTTTTGCCAGCCTGAGATCCGGAGAGGTGGCGACTTGAACATCCCGCCACCAGAGCGTTTCTTCCATGGCATGTTTCTTGGTGGCACTCTCAGAGCAGCTGGGCTTGCCAACTTGGCTCCCACTTGCAGATTGCTGGACCTTGCTGAGCTAAAACTTTCCGTTGAGGCCCCTTTTGGGCTCCAGGCGTTCAACGCATTTAGAGAGACCCTTCACATTTTCGAGACCATCCAAGTCAGCCAGCTTCATGAATCCGTCAATATATATATATATATATGCAAAGTCAAATTACACAATTCTTCCAGCACCGGACCGAGACCACTCATTCCTAGGTGGAGTCACTTGTTTTACACCCCCACCCCCTTCCCCCCAGGTTTTGCGGTATCACCCACCCACGGGCCTCGTCCAACTCCACAGCCCAAGACGTCGTGGACGTGTTCGCCGCGCGAAAGGTGGTGGTGAGCCCTGCCCAGCGCTCGGCGGCATTTTTGGAGTATGGGTTTTGGAGGTATGGAGGACGTGCGATTTGCAACATCTGCGCAGCATTGAATTCCAGTCCTTGAACTGAAGCTTGCAATCGCTGAGCGCGAGGGCATTTCGCAAAATTGATGGTGACCAACCTTCTCTGCATCTGAACTGCTCTGTCGCGTGAATTTTCGCTGTGCTCGTGCTTCGAGGTGTTTATCAAGTCTCCAAAAGGCCGAGGACGAGTAAATCATGCCATGACTTGTGTGTTTTATGCGGTTGCAAAAGGACATTGGGTCCTGCAAAGTCACTCGCAGCCAAACACATGAATGTCCTATCTCTGTCTCTCTTGTTGATCATTTTGTCGCTTGAAGCACCTGCACCCACTTAATAACCGCCCACCGATTTGTTCAAGGGCTGCTTTCAAAAGGCATGCCTGTTTGTTGATTAGTTTTCTTTTTGCGATCCCTCTGCAAGAAAGAGCCAGTCAGGGTCCGAATTGGGGCATCGCCGCCTCCATTTTGAGCAAGCCTCTTTGGAGCCCCGCGCCTGTGCTGCGCGCGAGGAATGCCGTGGTCGCTTTCGGCGAGGTGAAGGCGGTGGGCAGCATCTCAGGCCAACGGAGCTGAAGGGTCCCAGGACCAACCCGTCCCATGTGTCCTTTTTGGTTGAAAATCGATGGGTTTCCCTGGCAGTTGATTGAACCACCAGGTAAACCAGGGCCTTCTAAACCAAATCAACCAAAAAGGACACCAGAGGTTGATTCATCCGGGGTTAACATTAACACTCAACTTGCTGCGCGAGGGAGAAACTTCGAGGCTCAGGCTAGAAGAGAGACTTCAGAAAACACAACCACGAAGCAAACCGCTCTCTAGATTGTTTGGCTTGCTATCACTTGGTTCGAGAGAAGTACGCAGAACCCAGGAACCGTTAAAAAAATGGTTGAGGTTGAAAACAGTGCAACCATCCACAAAAACACACAAAAAGAAGCTCAGGAAAAAAGACAGAATAAACAAACACGCATTTTGGGAGGGGATCCTTCACCTTTGGGGAAGATTGTCCGTCCACATGCGCCTTGCCCCACGGGGCCTTGGCCCAAGTCTGGAGGACATAAGATGTCCTGAATCCAGTCTCATGCGAGGTGTGTTTTTTGTTGGGGATTTGGACCCGCACCCCCCCCCAAAAAAAAAACACACACACACAATCTAACCTGGCGGCCTGTGTGTCGGCTTCCCTTTAAAAGCCATAAACAAAGGGGGTACCCTCAAAACCGGGCATGAGACGCTCTTTCCAAGAACCACGGCCCCCAAAAACGCAAAGTCGTCTGCAGCTTCTTGGAGCCGGCTCACAGACTCGACTCGAGGCCCGGGCCGCCACTTCTGCCTGAGGCTTCGGTGCTTCGGTGCCGGCGCTGCCGGCGCCCCACCCTCTGATTCATAACCCCCAAGTGATGAATCAGGAACCTCCGAGTCCATGTCAGCTGGATCTTACCCAAACTTTGCATAGTTTAGAAGCATTCCCATAAAATCACTGCAGTCAAAACTCAAAAGCAAATCCAGGAACCACGCAAACACCTAAGGCGGGTTGATGAATCTGAGCTTGGCACGCGCTCGTTGTTGGACACGTTGCCGAGTAGCATGGAAGGTCAATAGACAAAAGCTTCCCGACTCTGAAAAACTGGGTTGCAGCCCCTCTGGTTTCCTAGGTTGTCAAAGGCGACGGTGGATGAATGACGGCGTGTAAATGGCTCGTAAGTTAATTCTATAGGGGGGCCTTCTATTAACTTAACAGAAAGGGACCCTGTGAGCGTTGGGTTTTTGCACACACCTTTTTTTTGCTGCATTCTGGCCAAAACCGAGGAAAACAAAGGATTCTGGGACAATGTGCTGGTATCATGCAAACAGTTCTCCACCTTACCCCCCCCCTTGCAGATGTCAGGAACATCGAGAAATCGAAAGATTCTGGGACAATGTGCTGGTATCATGCAAACAGTTCTCCACCTTACCCCCCCTTGCAGATGTCAGGCTCCTGTCCCAAAACCGAAAAAACATCGAGAAATCGAAAGATTTTGTCCAAAACCAAAAAAAACCTCGAGAAATCGAAAAAGACCAAAAAAACCAAAGATTCTGGGACAATGTGCTGGTATCATGTAAACATTCTGTTGGCCAGATTGTTTTTTTTGGTTTTTTTCGATTTCTCGAGGTTTCTTTCGGTTTTGGACAAAATCTTTCGATTTCTCGATGTTTTTTTGATTTTGGATGGTTTCTTTCGAATTCTCAATGTTTTTTTTGCTTTTGGACACCTTCTTTTGATTTCTCGATGTTTCTAAGGCTGCCTGCAGCAAAAGCTTCAACACAGGACAGCTTTGCAAGGAAGAGCTTAGAAGGTTTTCAAACACCAAACAACAAGAAAACCAAAGGTGTGGCCAGCCCGACAACACAGCTTCAGGTGACAGCAAGCCCGACAGAGTCCTTAGCTTCCAGCCAGCTTGCACCCAGCCCCAGCCCAGCTAGCTTAGAGAAGAAACAGTTCAGCGTAAAGAAGTTTTTTGGAACACCAGAGCAGCAAGCCAAGGAGATAGAGCCTGTGCTATCTAACAGGGTAGTTCCATACCAGAGGCAGCAGCAGAGCAAGCTGCAGAAAGAAGCTGCACTAGTGAAGTCAGCTTACCTCCAGAAGCTAGCAGAGCTGGAGAAAGAAGACCCAGAAGAAGCTGTAACAGGCAGACAAGGTGGCAGGCCTCCAGTTCTGGAAGAGCGTAGAGGAACTGCAGGTGGGCAGTTAAGCAACAGGAAGAAGGAGACAGATCCTTCCAGGAAGCAAGAGCTTTTTGCCTTTCAGAAGATGAAGCTTAGTGAAGAGATTCAAATGATTCTGGAAGAGTCTCAGCCTCAGAAGCAGAAGCTTGGGCAGTTGCAAGGAGAAAGTTCAAGATGAGCACACAGAGGCTGGAAGATTGCAGAAGAGGTTTGCCAGAGCAGCTAGTGGAGGGAGAAAGAGAGAGTTTAGCAGAGAGATCTCTCAACTTGGCAAGTGGTTGCAGAAAGAAAGGAGTTATAGCCACAACGTTTCAAAGAATGAGCTGCTGAAAGAGTTCTTTGCCCTTCTGGTTGCAAGGGCAGAGAGATGCATGGTCAGGGCAGAGCTTTGCAGAAATGAGATGCAAAGGAAAGCTTGGCTGAAAGAAGCTGACTGTGCCCTACAGAGAAAGACCAAGCTCCAGCAGAGCTCAAAGTATGCAGCTTCTTATGTAGAGAAGCTGATCCAATGGCTAGGTGCAGCTTACTTGAGCAAAGATCAGACTACTCGCCTGGCACCAGTTGAAGAACAGGCGCGGGCCCAGCTCACCTTCCAGGATATTGACAGAAAGCTCTGGCATCTAGGCGCTTGCTCCAGTTGCTGAGATTGAAGATGCACATTTGGTTGCAGATGCAGAGATGATAGTTAAGAAACGATCCTCACTGGTAATCGGCACGAGTGATCAAGTCCCACTTTGGGCCAAAGATCCAAGCAAGAAGTTGGTCTTCTCTGCAGATGAGCTCAAAGGTGCCAGTTGGGACGACAGAAAGAGGTGGACTGAGATCAGGTAGGAGCTGAAAGCTGCTTAAGTTCAGGCAGCTGAAGAAGGCTACCAGCTTGTCAGTTGGGCAGATGTAGGAGCAGGGCCTCTCAAAGTTGCAGGTAATAAGGTGATGGCAGGACAAAGTTCAGATGAAAAGTTTCGTTTAACATACGAAGCTTGCCAGAAGATTTACAACATAGGAGCTCCAGCAGGAACAGCTCTGCAAGGCGACTACTGCGGCGCAAGGTCGGCATAGGTAGCCATCCACGATCTCCTTGAGATCCTCGTAGGTCATGTCTTCTGCTGCAAGTGCCATCTTAGCCCAGAGTGGAGGGTGGGACGACTCAGTGCAGGATGCAGATGGATGAGATGCTTTCTAGCTGGCCAAAGTTGCAGCGCAGATCGCGGTCAGAGGATATATACACACATAACTGCACACAACTCCCCAATTCGGAAAAACACTCGTTTCACATGGAAAATACCCACGCTGAGGGGGTCCCCCTCTCTAACTTAAAACCACCAAGCAAATGGCGCCCTCCAAAACATGCTTTCTCGACTGCAGACTACATGGAGTCCTTTTGAAACCCAAAGGAAACCACCCATTTACTTGCTGGTTCTCAGTAGGGAATGTGAAATGGAATGATCCCGAGAAAAAATAATAATAATAAAAACACTTTTTCCCAATGATTTCCTCCAATCTAGCATCCCCAAAACCGGTTCATTCGAATGCATCACCCGGAACCGGTGAGTCGCTACCTATCGCACCAAGTTCGACGCCCTCGCCCGATGCATCCGAGGCACGATCACCAAGGCCTCCGGGTCTTGCACCCCCGCCAGCGCCGCAGAGCCCCGCAAAAGGCTCTGCAGGGTCCTGCGGGCAAGAAAATGCAACCTGTCCCACGGTTGTTGTTCAAACAATAAATGCTTGGGTGCTTGAGCTAGTAAGTAGGTTGTACCGTTACACCCATTCGGGCACAACTGGGTAACTGGGGTTCGTCCCCATATAACCATGGTTGTAACTTGTATGACCCGATCAGATAATAAGACATGATTCATTGGGTCGCCAACCTGTGCTTTGGTTGCCCAGCTAAAAATAAAAAGGCCGCGGATGTCAAAAACAACTGATTCAACAAGCAGGATCCCCCACAAAAATGAGTGGCTTCAATGTGGCTTCTCTTTTCTTGGCCAGACGCAGGCGCCCTGCCAACAGTAAGCTCAGTCAGGCACTGCAGTGTGGTTTTCTTGCTTTCGAACTGCCGAAAGGACCCTCACCCCTTTCCTGAGCAACCCAAGTGGCGTAAATCACCCAACCCTGGAAGAGAACCGCAATACTAAGCACAACCTGACAAGTCCAGACAAATGTGAGTACCACCTCCAAAGTGGAAATTGCCCGAGCTGCATGGTGGTTTAAAGAAGCATTTTCACGCCAAGGGAGCGAGTCCAAATGGCGACTCAGTTTTGCCAACCCCGCGACCGATCTGTTGACTCTACCTACCTGGTGGCACCAGGCTAGTGGGACCAACACACTCGCTTTTTGACTCTCTACATACCCGGTCTTGGACCAAACCACCGGCCGGGTCGAAGAAAACAAGGTCCAAATCTCACCTGAGTTGACTGGCCGAACCAAAGTAACCGCACTTTTCGTGTACCACCAAAATGGTCCAATCCCAGAAAGCGACTGTCCAGGAACTCGGGAAGTCCTGAGGTCCGGGTGCGAGAGCCTCCAGCCAAAGAAAGGCGTGCGCAACTGGGTCGGTCTTTTAGCTACGCAAAAGGTTCCGTTTTTTTTTTTTTGGGGGGGGGGCCTCTGGTTGTTTTGTTTTTGTTGCTTCGAGCAAACGCCAATTCACATGGACCTGACAAGCCCTATTTTTGTGGCTCTTGTCAGGGAACTGTCGAAACCGGGATCTTCAGGGGTCAAAGCGCCCGCTCTTCTTTAGGAGCTGCTAACTAGTTGTCACATGGACTCAAAGCAGTCAGCAACATACAGTGAATTCCTCCCACATTTGACTGAGCCAGGATTGGTTCAGCTTTGGTTCAACGAGGGG